ACAACATCTCATATGATTTTCCACTGGAGAACCATTAGTTATTTATAGCTTGAGCAGCATCACGTGCACCATGAAAAACTTCATGAAAAATGCATTTTCTAGCTACTCGTGCTGACATATTTAAAAAAGGACAGGCCTTAATTCAATTTTTAAAAAGGAATACATTGTTAGTAATTATTTGCATGGTCTTTTTTTATCAATCATCATGTATGCATGTTCTTCTGAATAACCTGAAACTACCAGGAATGACAAATAAACGAACGAATAATAAATAGTTATGAATAAATATTAAAGCCTAGTAACAAGCTGCAGTTCGGTGACATTAGATTGAGGTCAGCCACAGTAGACTAGTAAACTGAGCGAAAAAAATGGCCTAACCCAGGACTAATTGCAAAAAAATTGTAATGATGTTTTTTAGAAAGCTAAATATCCAAATTTTAACATATTAAAAATCTAGAAAAATCTAAGTAGTGGAAAATGGTTTTTAGGGCAGTTTTCCAAGATGGCCGCCAATATATTAAGTCTCCATAGGTAAAGGGGGTCTTTATTTTTTAAGGAGTATTTTTGCTGGAATAAATGGGGTTAAGACCTTGAAATATATCCAGACTTAGAGACAAAGACCTTTTTGTTTAAAAAAAAAGCTTATTTGATAAGAATTATTCACCAAAGGTCATTGGCTTAGGGTCAAAGGTCAGGCAAAGGTCATTTGTATAGATTTTTACTTGAAATATTGCATAAAAGTTTGCAATAAATGTTTTTAAAGATTGTTTATTGAAACTTTTGGTGTTTATTACAATTATTACATCACTCACAACAAATCTATGAAGTTCGGCTGCAAAATATGTATTTTTAGGAGAAATATGAGACAAATTGTGAAAAATCAGATGAATAAAAAGTATGTATAAATGTGTAGGGTAGGTATTAAAAGTTGACTTCTCTTCATTCTGGGGACAAATATTTCTATGTAAATGTTATATAATATATAGAAAACATTTGTTTTTTTTACATTTTCTTTTTACAACCATCTATGTTCAGGCTCAATTCCTTTTTTCCAATATGGCCGCCAGCAAGGGTATTCACAAGGTTTTATAAGACTTAATTTTTTTAACATTTTTTTTCAGTAGGGACTTACTGCAAAAAATTGTTATTAGGTATTTTAGAAAGCTTTATATCCAAATTAAAACATAATAAAAATCTAGAAAAATCTAAGTAGTGGAAAAAGGTTTTTAAGGGAGCTTTTCCAAGATGGCCACCATTATCTTGGGTCACTGTAAGTAAATGGTGTCTTTTGATTTAGGTGGTATTTTGCTAAGATAAATGGGGGTTAATCCTTGAAATATACACAAAGTTGTAGACAAAGAATAATTGGTTGAAAAAATAAGCTTATTTAATAGGAATTATTCACCAAAGGTCACTGGCTTGGGGTCAAAGGTCAGGCAAAGGTCATTTGTACAGATTTTCAACATGAAATTTTGCCTAAAAGTTTGCAATAAATGTTTTTAAAGATTGTTTATTGAAACTTTTGGTATTAATTACAATTAGTACATCACTCACAACAAATTTATGAAGTTTGGCTGCAAAATATTTATTTTTAGGAGAAATATGAGACAAATTGTGAAAAATCAAATGGATAAAAATTATGTATAAGTGGATGGGGTAGGTAATTAATATTGACTTCTTTTCATTCTGAGGTCAAAGATTTCTATGTAAATGTCATATTATATATAGAAAACACTTGTTTTTTTTTTACATTTTCTTCTTACACCCATCTACGTTCCGGTTCAATGCATTTTTCAATATGGCCGCCAGTAAGTGCATTCATAAGGTTTAATAAGACATAATTTTTTGAACGTTTTTTTCAGTAGGGACTTATTTCAAAAAAATATAATGAGGTATTTCAGAAAGCTTAATATCCAAATTTAAACATAATGAAAATCTAGAAAAATCTAAGTAGTGGAAAAAGGTTTTTAAGGCAGCTTTTCCAAGATGGCCGCCATTATATTGCGTCACTGTAAGTAAATGGTGTGTAATTTACATAGTATTGTGCTAGAAATAAATGGAGATAAAACCTCAAAATACACACAAAGTTAAAGAAAAGGACTTATTCACTGAAAAAAAGCTTATTTAATAGGATTTATTCTCTAAAGGTCACTGGCTTGAGTCAAAGTTCAGGCAAAGACCATTTGTACAGATTTTCCCTAAAGTGTTGCCTAAAATTGCAAATTATGTTTTTGAAGATAGGCAATTGAATTTGTTTGGGTGTTAAATATAATCATTATTTCATTCACAACAACTCTGTGAGGTTTGGCTTCAAATATGGCTCTTTAGGAGAAATGTGAGTCTAAGTGTGAAAAATCAGACAAATAAGGATTCCGACAGGATAGGACTTCTTTTCATTCTGGGAACAAATATTTCTTTGCTAATATCATAAAAATATGATATACGAAAAACACTTTTTTTTTGTTTGTTTGCTTTTTTTAAATTATTTATTATACCCATTTATGTACCTGTTCAAAGTATTTTCCAATATGACTGTCAGCAAGATAATTCATAAGGCTGTCTTCAGTAATATTCCACTCAAGATTGTGTCTTTACCCCCCTTTTCTTAATTATATTGATGAATAAGTAATGGAGGTAAAAAGTTGTACAGTTAACAGTGGCACCAAGCACAATATGTCTTTTTTCTAAGAGTGCATTCCCATAGATTTTGAGATCAATCTTTCCCCGTGGGGAGTCTCACTAGATTGTTGTCAGCTGATCGGCTTAAATGTCTGTCCTGCCTACTAAAAGCTGTTAGGGGGTAATTAACTTTTGTGCGCGCTCGGCTCTCGGAACCTGACAGCAATTTAGCGTGAACCTCCAAGGAGTTAGGTCGATCCAGATAGATTGATCTAAATCTATGGGAACCCAGTCTAAGACAGACTGAAATGTTGCATCAATTGGACAAGCAATCATATAATCAGCCAGGCCAAATGTACTGCTGGCCTGTCCAAATATGTTTGGGTGTCCAACTGCATAAACTTTTTGGAAACAGATTCCTAATTGCATGGATTCTGTTGCTCGTACTCCTATTAGTAAGATATGAGAGGGGCTCCAGGGCCACACAAGGGACAGAATCCTGGAGTATTTGTTGCCACATTCACCAACATGGAAAACCCCAATATCTAGGAATCGGATCCTATCAGAAACCATTTTTTTTTTTTTTTTGGAAACTGTCCTTACCTGCTTTCCAGCCACAGCCCAAACTACTATGGAATGGTTACATGGTCAAATGGTGACTAGAAGGAATCACCCAGCAAAGGCATCTGTGAACAAGAATCCAATATACTACCATCTCTAGTTGCAAGGCTTGTTGGCTTCCACACAGAGATGAGCTACCTTTAGTGCATATGTCAACTCATGACAGGGTCAAGACTTTGAGAACTTCTTGAAACTATATTTGCTGTCAATACAGTAAGCCACATGATTCCCAGGGAATGCTCTGGCTAGGGCAATGAGGGCCCAGCTATTACTTGATCTATCCCTCATTGCACTTCTCATCTTCAAGCTTTTGCGGTATAATGTGCCAGCCACTGTTGCTCAAAACAAGAAGCACAGCACAGTGAAACACAGTGCACAGATGTCATTGGGTGATTTCCAATTGATGAAGACAGAGCCGACATCCAGATCTCCATTCTTTGGACCATGGTAACATCAGATGTGGGAGAGAGTGAATTTTTGACAAAGATAGATCAGCAACTGGCTGTTGAGAAAACCACTTTTAAAAGTCAAAGAACGTCAAGGTTCAGGATACAATGTATGGGCATTTCCTCTTTGCTAGAACAGGCAATATAGTCAGATGGGCTTGAAAGTGAAGGTGAGGTCCAGTACATTTAAGATGGTGTGGTACTTCTTCATCACACACCTTGGACAGTTGGAATGTGTTGCACACCAGGGAGATATAGGAGAGCTATAGTGTAGCATTATAAAGGGATCATCTTGGATGTCCCCTCTACTAAGCTATGGTTCTGCACACCTAGTTTGATCCAATTAACAGTATGAGCACAGCTATCGTATTCACAGATGAGACGAAGCTGCAGAGTGGAAAAGAAAAAAATTCTTACCAACAAAGAAAACAAACAAGTTCATTTATTTCCTTGGTGAGAAGTTGGAAGGTGTTGGAGTTAAAATAATCCAAGTTCAGGTGATGCAGACCTCCATATTTCATTTAAATAAAAAAAGTTTATCTGAAGCGCACATCATATGATCATAATCTTCTGAGCTTTGTCCCAAAGCCATAATTGCTCGCAATGTCATTTTCTTGTTTTTGAAGTGAAACCTAGGTCATCCCTGGTGAAGACAGTTAGGTACTAATTGACTGGTCAGTCATTTTTAACTTAGATTAAAATGGAATAAGACATTAAACTTAGTGTAGGGACAGGACGGCAATACTTTTTAAGTAGGAAATAATGTCGTTTACCTCAGGCGAGTTTATTTTGGTGCATGAATTGGATAAAGGAGCTCCTCTAAAATCATTTTATTTAAGTCTTTATGTCCTGGCCAATCTAGTACTACAACAGAAAGTGGTAAAAGACCATAAATGTACTTTTGAGCTTACTTTTTATTCAATTTTTTACTTCAAATTTGGTAATTTGTAGCCGCCATTTTAGTTTTGGCGGCCATTTTGTATTTTGTTGAGGCTATCTGCATTTGATTTATTTGGAGAGAAGTGGCACAACATCCCTTTATGCATTTTGTACCATTTTTACGAGCTTTTGTTGAAACCACCTGAAGCAAATTTGCACCTACTTATGTAGATCTCTGTTCTGGCGGCCATTTTTGATTTTCCCCAAAAAATACCTTTTCCACTACTTGGATTTTTCTAGATTTTTAATATGTTCATATGGACCACTCAAAGACTAAAAAAAAACATACTACAATTTTTTTTTGCAATTAGTCCCGGGTTAATCCATTTTTTTCTTAGACTACAGCTACTGACTTCCGCTTTGTTCGACTTCAAAATGGCGACTGCTGCTACAGAATGTGATGTAAAAGATGAAGATTCAAGCCTGAGAACTGTGATAACTGAAAACTTTGTGAGTTGTCCTATATGCCTTGTGGAGTACACTGCCCCGACAGATTTGCCATGTAAACATACATTTTGTAAAGGGTGTCTGTCGACTTTAATTTCTGATTTAAAACCAGGAAGTAAGTTTCCATGCCCGGTTTGTCAGCGAGAAATAGAAGTGCCTGAGAATGGACTGGAGGGCTTTACTCATAATTTCTTCGTTGAAAGCTTGCAGGACACTGTTCTTAAACCAACCAAAAAGGCAAAGTGCAGCTTTTGTGCCTTTTCGTCTGAAACTGAAACTATTGCCACATCTAAATGCATCACCTGCCATGACTACCTGTGTGAAAAGTGCTCTAAGTTACACTGCAGTACCAGGTTCACCAAAGACCACAAGGTCCTCACTTTTCAACAGATACAAAGTGAGGAGCACCAAAAAGAGATCCAAGAACAGCAAGTTATATTCTGTTCGGAACACAATGACGAAACTCTACGTTACTACTGTATGAAATGCCAGAAACCCGTCTGTCGTGATTGTAAGATCTTAAGTCACGATGATCACAAGGTGACAACTTTGTCAACAGCTTCTAAAGGTGTTAGTTGTCAACTACAGGCAAGATTAGATGGACTGGGGTCAGAAGACGAAACTATGCAAGAGGCAATTGAGAAAGTGGACCAAATGATACAAGGCTTTCAGGAAAACAAAGAATACATTCAGTTTGAAATTTCACAAAGAGCAGATCATCTTTGTCAAATGGTGCGCCAAAAAGAAAAAACCCTTCTTAATGACTTAGATCAAACGTTTTCTGCTCAGATGAAAAACTTGAATATATCCCACGATCATTTCAGCAGCTTATCTTCCACCATTAAGAGTGCTGTAAATGTAGTGGGAAACACGTTGAAACGAGGTGTCCCGGTAGAGATCCTCATGTTAGAGCACCAGTTAAGAAATAGACTAGATGAGTTACAGCACACAACAGCCACAACCGAAATACCCAAAGAATTAAAACTCACATTAAAAACCAACCAAGATGTTGACCAAGATATATTGAGTGGGGCTGGCCTTGGAGAAATTCATGAAGAATGGAGAGACAGTCGCCTCTATGAACAAGACACCTCCGAGTCCACTCGTGAAGGTGATGAACAGGCTTCAAATTCAAACTCAACATCACCGGCGCCGCCTCCACAAGAAAAACCGAAGTTAAAGGTCAAAGCTGACTGCATACTGGAGTTTGACACTGGATCTACAAGACCAGATGGCATCTCATTAAGTCCATCTGGAGACTATGTCACCGTCCACGATGAGGCAGGCAAACTAAATGTGTTTAGTTCAGATGGCACATTTAAAGATATCATTACCAGTGTTTCAGGTACCAAGCTGCAGTATCCAGAAGGAATATGTCACTTCCCTGATGGCAGAATGATTGTGTCTGATAGTGACAATAACACAATGTTTATGTTGTCAACACAATGGGAAGTGCTACAAACGGTGTGTGTTCAGGATCCAAGGGGCGTGGCTCTGAACGACACCTGCACTGAGGTTGCTGTAGTACGTGAGGGGGTGGAAAGGGCGGTAAGTTTGTACAACATGGACCGGGAAAGACTATCACTGACTCCTGGTCATGAAATAAATTCTTACAATGGGACACCAATATTCGATGAACCGTATAAGGTGGCATATATGAAAAACGGTTGTATTATTGCTTGTGATATTAAATCAAAGAAAGTTCATATCCTGACCCCAGCTGGTGAACCACTGTATCAGTACACAGGACCTGATAACAAATTAGGTCGCCCCCATGGGGTCTGTGTTGATGCATATGACAACATAATGGTTACAGACTTTGATAACCACTGTATACACCTTGTTTCCCGAGATGGGAAGTTCATCCAGTACATAGCAACTGAAGCTGATGGACTAGATAAACCATGGGCATGTACCATCAACCAGGATGGAGATCTAGTCGTAACAGAAGACGACGGAAAAGTGAAAATCTATCGTTATTTGGAAAGTTAGATTCAACATGACTTAACTAATAATAATAATATTATTATTAATGCTTTATTAAGATATAAAAATCCATGGCCTTTATGGACTGTTTGGAATGTGCCACAATTCATTTTTAAATAGAACATTATTAGTTTCTTCATAGAAATTTGTATTAATAGCACTCAAATATAACTGTCAAACAGTATGGTTTAATGAATATATTCACAATTCTGAGAACCTATGCTTGCTTTTTCTGATTTCATATTTTGTCATAGGTTTACGTTGTATGTATTTTACATATATGTTTGTCAATATGAATGAAAATGATTAAGTTTTAAAATAACAAAGATTAAGTTATTTACAGTCAACCATGATAAAAACTGCTCCGCAAAAAAGTGAATTTGAATGGTGGCTTTTAGTTTCAGATCTTTTCCTAATAATATCTATGTTTTGAAAACAAAACCCTTGATATTGGAATTTCTGTAAAAGGTGAGCCACCCCGAATGTATTTTTCGTGTTGTTGTATTGTAAGACAAACGCATTTTAAATTTAAAATAAATCAGGTATCGTTCAGTATTTATGATAGAAAATGTTTTTCTTTTTTTGATAGATGATAGACAAATTAAAAAGGGATTGTTTGTATTTAAAACACCTGTTGGGCATCCTTGACGCAGTTTTCAAAAAGAAATGCCACATTTTGTAAGATTTTTTTCCTATGGACTGTAAAAATGTGTAGATGGATAATTTTGAATAGTTACATATTCACGTATCAACATAAAAGCTAGATGTGTTTAACACATATTTAAAGAACTACACGTTAACCTTTCACTGCCTTACGTGGAACCGTTCACCTCTAACGCGTTTGGATTCAAACAAAAGGATACCAAAAGATAACATAGATATCAAACGGCAGAACTGTACTAAGGACTCAGCTGCACAAGATCTACCAGCATAAGCTTAAAGAATGAAGTCGTTATATAGCCTACGCACTATTCGCATTATCGCTTTGCATTTCAGATTATTGATTCCTATATAGATTAACGTACGTTTACAATTGTTATTACCACTGCACGAGTCCACAATTCATGTGGGGCATTGCACAGTTCTCTTTAAAGTTTGTGTTGTATTGATTCATTAATATTATTCAATAGTACAATAGAACATAAAAGAGAACACAAAATAAATGTTCTTCTGGGTATATAAAAGTCCGTGCAATGCATATGAATGTATGCGGTAGGGTTTAAATGGTACACAGAATATACACACACATAATTATGACCCATGCGGTAGGTTTGTATAGATTATTTTATAGAATACGCTTTTTTTCTAATCAATAGCGTTTATTTTGCTTCTCCTTTACGTAATAATTATATACTCGTATTCCTCTTATTTTAAATTGTACAATAAAAAGAGTTATTAAATTGTTCATTAAAAGAATTATTAATTTAAAGAATTGACTTGAGAATTTAATAGTATTTTGAACACGAAGCATGGATCTATGGGCCTCGGCGTCCTTTCTATTCTGTTTGGAAATTGAAGGTGTTTTGGCTGTTATTTTGACAGCCATTCTGAGCAACAGTTCACACATCACTATATTTTTCCCCATTTGATATTCTGCCTGATTAAAAAGAAGGGGTTTTAGAGATGGAAAAATATAAAATGACGGGTTCTATTTTACCTTTGAAAATTAGGGGTTTAGACTTAACCCCACCCGCGTCCGGGATTTTTCTTCTATTGTCTCATTTCACATAGTGCTGAGGCATTTAAATTTTTTTTCACAAACGTATGCGTATCACTCCTGGTGAGATTTTAACAGCCAGCACAATCAGTAAACGTCTCCTAACGCATTCACCTTCATTAGACTAGTGATATGTTCATTGGCCACAAGATGGCGAGGAGATCAATCTCTTTCAGGGTTGTCAGGTGAAAAAGTAAACAAAACCGATAGTATCTGAAGAATGTTAAACAACATCTCATATGATTTTCCACTGGAGAACCATTAGTTATTTATAGCTTGAGCAGCATCACGTGCACCATGAAAAACTTCATGAAAAATGCATTTTCTAGCTACTCGTGCTGACATATTTAAAAAAGGACAGGCCTTAATTCAATTTTGAAAAGGGAATACATTGTTAGTAATTTTTTGCATGGTCTTTTTTTATCAATCATCATGTATGTTCTTCTGAATAACCTGAAACTACCAGGAATGACAAATAAACGAACGAATAATAAATAGTTATGAATAAATATTAAAGCCTAGTAACAAGCTGCAGTTCGGTGACATTAGATTGAGGTCAGCCACAGCTATTGACTTCCGCTTTGTTCGACTTCAAAATGGCGACTGCTGCTACAGAATGTGAGGTAAAAGATGAAGATTCAAGCCTGAGAACTGTGATAACTGAGAACTTTGTGAGTTGTCCTATATGCCTTGTGGAGTACACAGACCCGACAGATTTGTCATGTAAACATACATTTTGTAAAGGGTGTTTGTCGACTTTAATTTCTGATTTAAAACCAGGAAGTAAGTTTCCCTGTCCGGTGTGTCAGCGAGAAATAGAAGTGCCTGAGAATGGACTTGAGGGCTTTACTCATAATTTCTTTGTTGAAAGCTTGCAGGACACTGTTCTTAAGACAACTAATAAGGCAAAATGCAGCTTTTGTGCCTTGGTGTTCGAATCTGACACAGTAGCAACATCAAAATGCATCACGTGCCATGATTACCTATGTGAGAGATGTTCTTCATTCCACTGTGGAACACGACTTACGAAAAACCATAAGGTTCTCACTTTCCAACAGATACAAAGTGAAGAGTACCAAAAGGAAATCCAAGAACAGCAGGTTATTTTCTGTCCCGAACACAGGGACGAACCTCTACGGTACTACTGTATGAAATGCTCGAAACCTGTATGTCGTGATTGCAAGATCTTAAGTCACGATGATCACAAGTTTACAACTTTGTCAACAGCTTCTGAAAATGTTAGCGGTCAATTGCAGGCAAGATTAGATAAACTGGGGACAGAAGACGAAACTATAGAAGAGGCAATTGAGAAAGTGGACCGAATAATACAATGTTTTCAGGAAAACAAAGAATACGTTCAGTTAGAGATTTCACAAAGAGCAGATCATCTATGTCAATTAGTGCGCCAAAAAGAACAAATCCTTCTTCATGACTTAGATCAGACGTTTTCTGCTCAGATGAAAAACTTAAATATATCCCACGATTATTTCAGCAGCTTATCTTCCACCATTAAGAGTGCTGTAAATGTAGTGGGAAACACGTTGAAACGAGGTGTCCCGGTAGAGATCCTCATGTTAGAGCATCAGTTAAGAAATAGACTAGAGGAGCTACAGCACACAAGAGCCGAAACCGAAATACCCAAAGAATTAAAACTCGCATTAAATACCAACCAAGATGTTGACCAAGATATATTGAGAGGGGCTGGCATTGGACAAATTCACGAAGAATGGAGAGAGAGTCGCCTGTATGAGCAAGACACCTCCGAGTCCACTTGTGAAAGTGATGACCAGGCTTCAAACTCAGCATCACCGGTGCCTCAGTCTGAGGGTGAGTGCGTTCTAGAGTTTGATACTGGATGTACAAGACCAGTGGGCATCTCAGTAAGTCCATCTGGAGACTATGTTACGGTCCACGACAAGGCAGGGAAGCTGAATGTTTTTAGTTCAAATGGCACGCTTAAGACATCCATTACCAGTGTTTCAGGTACCAAACTGCAGTTCCCCGTAGGAATATGTCACTTCCCTGATGGCAGAGTGATTGTGTCTGATAATGGCAATAACAAGCTTTTTATGTTGTCATCACAATGGGAAGTGCTCCAAACGACTTGTGTCCAGGAACCATGGGGTGTGGCTCTTAACGACAATTATTCGGAGGTTGCTGTTGCACATATGGGGACGGAAGGGGCGATACGTTTGTACGACATTGACAGAGAAAGAATAGCATTGACTGCTGATCATGAAATAAATTCTTACAATGGGACACCAATATTCGATGAACCATATAAGGTGGCATATATGAAAAACGGTTGTATTATTGCCTGTGATGATAAAGAAAGGAAGGTCCATATTCTGACCCCAGCTGGTGAGCCACTGTATCAGTACGCATGGCCTGATTACAACCTAGGTCCACCGTATGGGGTCTGTGTTGATGCATATGACAACATACTGGTTACAGATAATGCTAACCACTGCATACACTGTGTATCCCCAGATGGAAAGTTCATCCAGTACATAGCAACCGAAGCTGATGGACTATGTGACCCATGGGCATGTACCATCAACCAGGATGGAGATCTTGTGGTAACAGAAGAAAACGGGAAAGTGAAAGTTTTTTGTTATTTGGAAAAGTAGAATGTTGATATTTACAATTACATTGAATGCATATATATATATATATATATATGTAAAAAATACAAAAAGATGGTCTTGTGGGAACAATTAGAGGTATACCATGGGTTATTACATTTTGGTTATTATTTTTGACAGTTATGTATTGTTTTGGTTACCGTTTATTCGTTTGGTTGTTTGACTGTTAGCAGCTTCAAGCAAAAGGTAATGAACGGATTTTGATGAAAATTTTAGAATATGTTACAAATGAACCTACTAAGAACTGTTTATATTTTGGTGATGATGCATAATTTATTTATTTATTTATTTATTTATTTATTTATTTATTTATCTATAAGTAGCTATTCAAGTCAAAAAGTGGTGAACGGATTTTGATGAATTTTCAAGATAGGTCAGAAATAGTTCAAGGAATGTATGATTCAATTTTGGTGATGGTGCGTTAATTAAGCGATTAATTATTGATGCTTAGTTAATTCAGTCAAAACGCAATGAACGGAGCTTTGATGAAATTTTCAAGGTAGGCGACAAATGGGCCACAGAAGTAGTTATTGGATTTTGGTGGTAATTCATTAATTAATTATATATTAATTATTTCAAAATTAATTTTTAAGGATAGGTTACAAATAAAAAGGAAAGAAATTATTACATTTTGGTGATGCTCCACTTATTAATTAATGGTTAATTATAAGTTGATTAACCTTAAATGTATTAATTACTCCATGGTTTTTTGTAATTCGGTTATTTGTTTTGTCGGGGGTCTGCACTCTTTGCAAGCTTTTGTGTGAATTTGGAATTGTAACATTCCAAAATTACCTCCAAACTCCAAAATTTATCTTTACTGCTTTTTAGTACAATTCATTCGATGCAGTAGTGCATATAATATGCTTAATGTACTTGTAAATATATGAATATTGAGAACAAAGTTGTGCAAGGTGAATTTCGCGAGGAAACTTAGTTTTGGAGTGTTAGTTTGTTAAGTGTTGTTAGAACAAAAGTGACCATAGCCTAATAGGCTGGCATAGCAAATATAAATCTGGAATTGTGGCTTTTAGTTTTAATTTAGATTAGTTTATTGAAGGGAATCTTAGTTTTATTTTTGAACGTTATCTGGATATTCAAATTTGTAGCTGGTAGCCTACTTAGATTTTTTTGTATGTGCATGAAGGAGTTGTTGCAGTATGTGACGTTGTTGTGTTTATTATTTTAGTTAAGCTACTTTATGTTGTTTAATTTATATGAATAATTACCGTATGTGCCTGCATTTTTGTATAATGTAAATGAAGTGCGGGACTGCTATTAAGTGCGAGACTCCGGAGAACATGAGCTGATGCAACACGTGTGTGTGGACAGTGTGTAACACTTTTACAGTACAAGAACTGTACTTTATTAAGTGTACTTTGTGATGGGCAATGCCAAAAAGCCATGGGACAGTTGCACGATTCCGTGAATGCATTATTAAAGCATATTTGTATGTTGCATTGAGCAACAGAGGTGAACAAACCTCGTGACAGTGACTTACAAGTGTGCAATACCATAGCACGTGCGGATTGACAGACAGTAAAATAGGATCACGTCTTACACAAGTTAGGACGCAATATGATGGCCCAAGAGTACAGAATTCTCCTAGGAGCACGACACTCATTTAGTGACAGAGAGGCACACTATCGGCAGGATCGTTCAGCAGATTGGGACCCTGAAAACGGTGACATTGTGCTTTCAAACTTTCTACGAACCAGTTAGAATTGAACTGCACAGGGTATTTGACAAATGTTAAAGTTTATGCAGCATGTTAGTATTAGTTAGTGAATGTAGTGTATGTTAGCTGTTTATAATATATTGTATTCGTAGTTGAATTCGTTGTTTGTGTTTTTTTATGTTCGGGCTGCTTCGGTCCGTAACAAGTACCATATCAGAAAAAAATTCATTACACAATACGCGTAGAAATAACATGCTGTAATGTATTTACGGCAAATGTCCACCTCTGTATAAAGTTAAATTCTTCAGTCCTCCTCATTTTAAAACATCAATTTATTAAAGTATGATTGTTTTGCAACAACCAATTTTTATATGTTCCTTATTGGCTGTAAAAATTAAAATAATTAAAAACGATGGACAGTTATGGCAACGGAAGGTAATAGCCTCACAACAATCAAATTATAGTAATCCAAAGTCATTTTACAACTTAATTTTAACCCTTTAAAGTAAGCTGCAAAATTATTAAAAATGACGTCGCATGTTGGCCTACGTGAGCCAGGTCTTGGATAGGAATGGAAGTTGTCTACAGGCATATGAAACATATGTAATAAAGAAAGTCTTTCTATAGATTTTATATCACTTTCTTTAAACGTGCCATCACCCAAAAAGCAATGAAGGAGAAACGATATGTTAGGATTTTTTCCTCATAAATGCAGAAATATGTTACCGTGTTATGAGGTAAAGCTGCCGCATAAAATGCACTGGGATGAATTTTTCTGATTCGAGCTGATGACGAAACAGCAGTGATTTCGGTGAGATAATTGTGCTGTCGATTCCTAACAGTTCTGCCTGACCTGAGCAGCTTTCAACACCGTTTTAAACATCTCAATTATGCTACATTGCGGTGCCAGTATTTTTCTTTTCTTTCTTTTTTTAAGACTTACTTGTGATTTTTATCAGCAAAGAAGAAAAACAATACCTTCGTACTGGTCCATCGTAGTTAGGGTTTCATAGCTCTTAAAAATACTCCATATGTGAAAGCATGTCGTACTAAATCCGTCGGTGATCGGGCAACGGTGTCGGTTTGGTCACTGTCTCTCCCTCCCCTAATCCAAATTATGCTCTCTTTCAGCGTGGGTACGATTTCCCGCGTTGTTCGTGTTGTCATGAGCTGTCTTCATGATGATCCTGCATGCCAGACGAAGCGCCGTCTCCACTTTCGCCCTTTGGCTACGGCTTATTACGGCCCTCGCTCATTGCCTTGTGATTTCATTTCAAAGAGAGGTCTTCTTAAAACGCCACCGGTAAAGCCTTGTCTTTCTTGATGCACTTCTGCCGCCTGCGGTGCTTCGACAATTTTTATCCCATTTTTTCCCTACGCGCTGTGTTCTCCAGTTGCAGTAAAATTTATTGGGCTATTATTTCCATTACTTTGCCTTGGTTAAATACATTGAAATGATGTCACTTTCGCTCTCCTTTTCCTTTGCATAATGATGCTGTGTTGATCTGTTTCTGGAGATGTTTCAGAGAGTGTGCAAGTTTTCCTGCCTTTTGGGTTCTGTTAGCATATGTGTAAGTAATATCATCCTCCGTTATTGGACATGCTGGCCAGTTGCAAATGTCGTTTAATTGCGCGGTGTCAAATGATTAAGTGTCTCGGACCACAGGTAAAGCGGGTTGCTCTGCGTGCGGACCAAGATCTAATTAACATAATGTGCTGGGTTCACGGTGCAGACAGTGAGACTGACATTTCGGACGCGTATGTGGCTGCACTAGTCACCGTTTCGTTTTTTTTTTTTTTTTTTTTTTTTTTTTTTGAGGGAAGCTCCTTGTACGTTTTGAGGCAGGGCAAACAGAAGGTGTGTGCACAAGACCAAGCGTTTTGGAAGAAGAGCTCCTTAAAATTAAACTGGAAAATTGCTTCAAAACTTTGGTAAATGTACCGGTACAACACTAATAACAGATGTTAGACTTGTCGTTTTATTCGTTTACATGTAGCTTATACGTTACACGTTGCTTATATGAATTCACGAATCCGGCGGATGACTGGGTGAACGTTTACGATTGGTGCGGTCAAATTAATTTGAACACGATATTGTAGATATCGTGCTTTATTGAATATAAATATAACTCTGTATAGGTATAATTATGGCACGCATGCTTCTGGCATATTCAATGCCCAGGGCTCTACTGATGATTAATATTAATGTCAGCGTGTGTGCCGGTTGCTTGCATCAATATAACAATTGACGCAATAGAACCACGGTATTACTTCGTTTAATAAGCATGCGCTGCGAGTCCAAACGTCCGACTCCCATCTAATCAGGTAATATCATATATAGAAACGTATGTTTGCATAGAAATGATCCTCTTAATATTTAATATAAAGCAGTTGGTTTTCCGGGGTTCGACTGTGTCCATGCTATATGTCTGGTAATTTTGTCCATATGCTTACCCGGTATATAGGCTACAGAGAGAGAAAGAGAGAGAGAGAGAGACTTACACCCCATTTCCATAGATTTTTAGATCGATCTATCCCTGGGGGAGTCTCACTAGATTACTGTCAGCTTGGCCGGCTTAAGCGTCTGTCCCGCCTACTAAAAGCTGTAAGGGGGTAATTAACTATGGTGTCCGCTCGGCTGACTGCAATTTAGCCTGAACCCCCAGGGAGTTAGGTCGATCTAAAACTTAATCTTTAGATCGATCTAAATCTCTGGGAAAGCATCCTTAAAAATAATTTTAAAAATAGTGCAATCGCTTCTTATTAAGGGAATGCATTTTACATATTCACACTGACGAAGGTCCAGGATAATAGGTGCCAATTTTTGTCATTTAATGCTTTCTGTTAGAGGTCAACACAATGACCCCATTTCCAGAGATTAGATCGATCTACTTTAGATCGACCTAACTCCCTTGGTGTTCACGCTAAATAGCTGTCAGCCGAGCGGACACGAAAGTTAATTACCCCTTTACAGCTTGTAGTAGGCGGGACGGACATTTAAGCCGGATTATCTGACAGTAATCCAGTGAGACTCCCCGCGGGGATAGATCGATCTAAAAGCTCTGGGAATACAGCCAATGTAACCGTGCAATGGCATTTCACACCACATTGTAATCATGTCGATGTTTCAGCTGTGATGGCGGTGACGCACGTTGCACCTGGTACACAACTCATCATATTAAAGTTACGCTTATAGTGGATAAAACGCCACACACAGATCTAGGAAGAAGGGGGGGGGGGGGTACGGGTTTTATTGACTTAAAGTCCCCAGAAAGTTTACTGCTCTTTAAGGCAGCTTCCAAGGAGAGTTGACTCTGTTGACAACGCCAAGGAAAAAAATCGAGGTAAGCGGCCTTTTAAATTCTTAGTGAAAACAACACTAGTACTTTGTCTCACTCGGTATCTGTAACGTTGGTATCCAAGATCGCATTCACAACGAGTTGAGCCATGGCTTTACAAATCCTGGAACTAAATATGGCGGACGTGCATGAAAGAAAAACCGCCTAATCTTTTAATAGTCTCTCACACACCTCCCCATTTGTCGTCCCAATGGAGCCGAAATTTAATGAATCATTATTATTATTATTATTATTATTATTATTATTATTATTTGCGTAACAGGGACCAAAATGAATGTAAACGTCTGCTGATGAGCCCTGCTAACGCATAACATTTTAAAAACATTTCAAAAAGGTAGACACTGTAACATTTCTGCATAACTTTTCAATAATTTTATTCAAAGATCTTTATAACGTTCCTTAAACGTTATGTTGAAAACTTTATACATAACATTTGGATAACATTTTCAAAATGTTGTCGCTTAAACATTTTATGCACAATATTTTAACAGACCTCAGCTGACTGTTTGATACGCCAGCTCTAACCACGATTCCTTAATCTAACGCCTACATGTAACTAATGCAAATGTGAACCGACGACCTAGGGTATTCAATCCAACCGTCTTTAACTTAGACCCATCAAGCCACCATGAGATGTTTTTTTTTCTTGGTCTGTCATAGATATTCAACCTAATCTTAGTGGAATAATTAAATGTTTTATTTTGCATTTAATTTGCTAAATTTGCAAGAAAAGGCAAAAGTTATATAAATTAACATTTCTAATTAGAGGAAGCTTTCCTTGTTTCTACACCATTAATTGTTATATGACAGGCTTCTTCTGACGGTTATAGTTGAGGTGAGTGGCTGCCTTTCACTAAGTCGATATAGTTATATAATAAGAACATCATTATAAAAAAGTCATATTTACACCAGTCCGACTGGCACAGAGCATCCATCAACATCGATTAAGACAAGGGTAAACAAAATATAATACTGTGTTAATTAACCACACGTCCTCATTACTCGTCTGTGCTGCGGTACGCTTGGCATCTGTTAGAGAAAAAAAATAATAAAAAATAACTTCCTACTGATTTTTGAAATAACACTGGAATAAACAATCCTACTGACGTGAAACATAATCCTAATAACGCCATATACAATTCCATTGACGCCAACGCCAGATACAATCCTACTGACGCCAACGCCAAATATAATCCTACTGACGCGAAATACAATCCCAATTTCGCCTTCCAATGCGATGTTAAGTCGGTGACTGTAAATATCATTGCATATGCGCATGCCGTCAGCATTAGAATTACGTTATTCAGTCTCCGTAACGGCTGTGGTAGCTTGCTCAGTGTTATTTCCATCTGTTGCTCAGCAATTGTAGCAATCCAGGCACGCGGTCAGGAGACGGCTGTCGAGTGCCACGGCGCCTTCGAATCAGTTTTCCAATGTTTCCCGAAAATTGATTCAACGAGGACTCGGACTGTGACGAACTTTGAAGAGTTATCTGAAAGAATGGAAAGTTTTTTTTTTACTTCTGAAGTGTCTTCTTTAATCTGTTAGTAAAACTTGATTGTTAAGTGGACTATGGCATCTCGAGGGCGGAGGGGGGGGGGTGATTTTGAACAATTTATTTCTAGGC